CAAATTCTCAACCATGATGTACAAATTCAACATTACCCACTACAAGACCTGTAGTTCCCTGAAATATACCTTCAATGTTGCAAGAGAGGCAACTCTTTAGGGATTTAAAATCAGACTTTGGAGGGAAAAAAACTATGTTTTCTGTAATGTGCTGTCTGTTTCCAAAAGCACAGCTCTGCCCTTCCAGGCAAGCAGCACCTTCAAAGGTTTTGTTTTGGAGAATACGAAGATTTTCCTTTGCCTTCAAAACAGCCTTTTCTTTTGCTTTCAGCACAAGCATCAGGGATACCTTCTCCTCTTCTAGATCTGCCAGCAGAAGCACAAACATCACGCCTGGCTGGGCCTCAGTACTTCCTCCAAACGCCAGCCCTCCCAGCAACGCCCTTGTGTTGCTCTAAAGCAAAGAAACTCCTCCATGCTCAAATGAGTAGAACAGATAAGCTAAATATGCTGTAACGAGCAGTGCAGACCCCAAAAACAAGTTCAGCAGCCACATTTATGCTCAGAGGAGAAGGGCTTTAAGAACACTTAAGATCTTCAAGGTCTCCCCAGACTGGGAGGAAGTTTGGAGACAGGGTCTCAGTACCAGGGGCTACAACACCTTCCTCTTAGAAAAAGTAGAAAGCCAACAGGTAACTCTAATACCTCATTAATGTTTGTTACTACTTAAGAGTTCACATCTGCTGGGAAATCAATACTGATAATCACAGCACTGGTTGCCAGACAATCAGAAGCCAAAGAAAGAGGATGAAAGAGGATTAATCTGTGAAGGTGTTGGCAAAGCACATGACAGCTGCAGAGGACCTGAGCAATTTCTGTAATGAAATGGAAATGAAAGTGTAAATTGCTAAAACGGTACTGGAAGAGAGATTTAACTCAACACACAGGCAGATTCTGAAAGCCTGTGCTATGACACAGGCTATTCTGAAGCCTGGCTATGACAAGTAGCAGGGAAATGTAAATGCAGTGGGTACTAATGGGCATAATGAACAGGCAGGTAGCTTTGACAGCATGTTCTCAGCTGGAAGCTATATTCCCAGGGACTCCTTATCTTCCACATCCACTTCTTTCAGCAACCATATAAATGTAGCAGGCAGATTTGCCAACCACAAGCATGCGAGTGCTGCATAATGCTACTGGCTGCCAGTTAGGCCCATAGCCAAAGCTGCTGTCTGGACAAACTGAGAAACCTGGCTTCCCTGATTCCTATCGCCAGCACATCCACCTACTGCTGAGACACACAGAGAAAAGACAGGTCTCCAAGGCAGGGACTTCGCTGCTATCAAATACTAGTTTATACTCTGCAGAGAAGCTGTTTGTCTCCCCTTGCTGAGGTGACTCCCTTACACAGGCAGACATACAGGGAGGGCAGAGGGAACCTCACTGTGCCTATTGAGGACAGCAAGAGATTTGGAGCAGAGCTTGCCTCGTGCTGTCAGCTGACATTGAGCACATTCAGGGCACTCACACCCAAACACTAGCTGGGAGATTTTAGCATTTCTGCATAGTAAAAGAAGCAATAAAAACAACTATCTTAAATAATGGCTACATGTGTGTCTCACGTCATACACTTGCTCTCTTCTTTTTCTCTGTTTACTAACTCCTGAACTACTACTAATAGCTAACAAGAATGATGGTGTTATAGAGCATGGAAAGGAGAACATTTCACAAAGTGAGTCTCCCCAGGATGACCAGTGAGGTGCTGAACAGCAGTGACTGTGGAGCTCCTGAACAGTAAAACCAGAATTAACCTCTGCCCTTGTGACTGATCAATGTCTAGTGTAAATCCCGATGGATTTTGGACCCACCCTTCCCCAAACGTTGCATATTCCAACCTGGCATGTAAATAATTAAACTTTCTCTACACATTGCCAAGATAGGAAGAAGAAAGGCTATTGCTATTCCACTTAACTATAGATAATCTTGACCCTCCTTCCATCTCCTGAAATTACTGAAATTACAGCCAAAACTGTGAAGATGGTACAACAAGGAATCCCTTACTCAGATGCTCAGGGTTCCTGCCTGACTGGGCAAAACAAGAGCTCTGAACCAGCCCCTGGGAGATAACACATACAGCTTATAGCAGAGACAAAACATTCTCCAAGGCCAAGGTTACTGAATGGGTACTGGATTAGCCAGCCACGTCACTGAGAGAGGACAAACTCACCCAGTAAACCACAGACAGGACAAAAAGTTGCCAATCAGAGATACAAAGACATGTGATTACAACACCAATTTTTCTGGATTTTAAACATATTAAGATCTTTGATAGAATTTTATTTCACTTCATTACCACAGGCACTGATTTTTTGTTATTTCTAATAAAAACTGACTAAGGCAACATAGAACAAACTTAGATTATTCAAGGCTGAATGGAGCAATAACAAAACATTTCTGTGATAAGCAAATGCACCCTAAGGTCCACTGTGGAAAACTTTCTATTCTCAGACATTAAACCACTTGCAAAACCTGATTTACTAACACCATTTCAAACATCATGATTACAAAAGTATATCTAAAACCTGCTTAGTTTCTACCAAAAAAATGCAAAACACACAACACACAAGTGGTCTGTATTTTGAAGATCACACAAGCAACGTAAACTATGAACTTTAGGGTTCATAAAACCATGATATTTTAAAGTGGGAAGAGAGAAAAGATTTTTCTGTCTTGTCCAAGCTATGAAATATTTAAATGAACAAACTGCAAATATTAAGATTCAGTAAAAAATATTTGAGATCTGACATTTAATACTAATGAATTTTCTATTGAGAAAAAAATCAACAACTAGGCAACAAGAAGTCATTAATGCACAATTTTAGTCTCGTTTGTATAATCCAGGAGAATGTCATATGACTTCACTTGGATGGAGCCTGCTTTTTGCAGAAGAAATACCATCTTAAAAGGTACCTCTTTAACTAAATTATGTCAATTTATATACTATATATATATATATATATAAAAAATCTTTATTTATGCTACTAATTGTAACTGTTCAGTTATTCATTATGTAAAATAGCACCAAATCCAGGGTCTCTTTTCCCTTTAGCAGCTCGCTAAAGTGGTGTTGGCAGCAATAGGCTTTAACACTTGTAATTTATTAACCCCCTAGGTGTTGTAAAATGGAGCTAAAGCCACAGACAGGAGGCATTTAGCAAGTTATATGTGCAGCATATTTTCACAGCAAAGGATTTCCTGCTGTGCTTTTCTTGCCTCCCACTTTTTTTATGACTTTTTTCCCCTTAAGACATTTTTGGAGATGCTCCAATATTTTGCCCTAACGCTCTTGCTCACATTTCAGAAAGTGTTGTGTGTTTATCAAGGAGATAAATAACATATCCTGAAGAATTTTTTAACTTTTTCAAATGCAGACAGTGAAGTCCAAGACAAACTCGCAAGATGGACTCTGCATCCCTGGAAGTTTTCAAGGCCAAGCTGGATGGGGCTTTGAGCAACTTGGTCTAGTGGAAGGTGTCTCTGCCCATAGAGGGGGGATGGAACGGGATGATCTTTAAGGTCCCTTCCAACCCAAACTATTCTATGATGCTTTACAGGACAGTGTCCTGGCTACAAAGACCAGCTATTCTGAATGCTGAAAGGAGACATGTAACGAGGGCAGCTGCCATCACGTAAGAGGGTCTTGTTAGAAAGCACTGAGATGAGCACATTTTTCTCTGTTGCTCCAGCTGAGAGAACAAGATCTTTTATTGTTGTGTGCCACCAGAAGTGTCCAGAACGATAGCCCAGCTTTTATGATTTCTGTTTATCAGTCACTTTCATATTTGAATGCAGTTCTTCTGCATATCAGACCAAAAATGTTCCATGTTCCAAGATGAACTTGAACAGGAGGGGTGTTTCCTGTGACCACATTGATGTGATATCAAAGCCAGCCAGGAAATCTATGCTTCAAAACTAACTTCAGGCAGGAAGAGATTCAGAGTATATAACATTATCTAATGTCACTACTACTTTTATTGTTGCTCCCTCTCTTTTCCTCTATACACCCACAGAGCCATCAAAAAGCTTTACAACATTATTGTAAGACAGTGACAGGAACCAAGGAACATTGTTCTGCTGGGGAGTGTTTAAAGGGGTAAGAGAGCTGCTTCACCAATCAATTCATAAAGTCAGGAAAAAGTTCTTTGCCACTTGAACATTATTGACAATCTAAAATACCCAAAATATGTAGTTCTTGTGATACTGCAAGAGTGCAGATGGAAGAAGATGGGAAAGGGTAACAGGGAAGAAAGGACTAAAGTTTCCTGCTTTTTCCGTGAATGTAAATCCAAACAGGCATTTCACCCAGGGTCCCAATTCAGCTACATAGGGCTGGCAACACTTTATATAAAGAATATCGTATGTGCATACAACAGTTGTGTCATCCTTTGTGAGGCAGCCCAGGCACTCAAAGCCACCCATCGCCGAGTCTTTATGACACTGAAGTTAAATAACAGGCTCTTCCCTGCACCCTGAAAGCCGGATGTACAGGAAAAACACAACTTATTCAGAAGTTTAATTGCTTTAAATCATTTGTGACATAGTTACAGTGATGTCAAGCATTCGGTCACTGCCCTCCAGGCAGCCGGTCGCCTCCCCGGCAGGGAGGGCAGCCCTGAGGGGCAGCCGAGGACGGCGAAGCCTCTCGGCACACGGGGCAGTGCGGTGGGGCTAGAGGGGGCTCGGGGCCCCCTAGGAGCTCCCTCAGTCCTTCAGAGTCCCCTCAGCCTCTCGGAGCCCCCTCACAACGTCCACAGCCCCTCGGAGCCCCCGCAGAAGCGCCCAAGCCGCCTTGACCCTTCAGCCGCGGCCCTTCCACACTGACTCAGCCTACGCACCTCCCGCCCCCCCCAGCCCGTCCAGCGCTCTCTCGCGAGATTCGGTCGCTGTAGACGCGATGTCCTTTGGGGCACTGGCAGGGGGGAGGGAGAAGGGGGCGGGAGGTGAAGCCAGGGCTGCCTTGATTGATGGCAGTCTTCGCCAATAGACGGTGGGAGCGGCGAGGTCCCGGCCAATAGCTCCGCTCCGAGGCGAGCGGGGAGCCAATGGCGGCGTCGGTGGGCGGGGCGCGCCGCTGGCTGATTGATCCCAGCTCTGGCGTTGTTCAGTCGGAGCGAGAACATTCTAGAGGTGAGTACGGGGCAGCCATTGCCGGGTCCCGTCCGCCGCCCCCTCCTGCCTCGGCTGCGCGCCGCCGCCGCCTCTCCCTCCCCCCTTTCCCTCTTCTCCCCCCTCCTCCTCCTCCCTCTCCCTCACAGGTGCCGCCGCTAATGATGCCCCTGATTGTGTCTTGCCCGCAGATTGCCCGGCACCGCTCTCCCTGCTGATACCGCCAGCCCCAGGACGCCGGGACCCGGAGGCTGCGGCGTCCGCCTCCGCTTCCCTCTCCGCCTGGATATAAGCGCCCCCTCGGCCCTGTTCTCCTTGCACAATCGGCTTCGTCGCAGCCCGGGGCGAGCAGCGTTGGGTTTATGTCTTTATTGGACGAAAACGGTGAGTGTTAGTACTGGGGTAGGGCGGGCGAGGGCAGCGGGGTGAGGCTATGGGGAGCGGTTTGGGCTGGACTGGGGCCTCGGCTTGTCGGTAAACGGCGGATAATGGGGAGAGGCTTTTGTGTAACGAAGTGTCCGGGACCTTGAGGAGAGGGAGGAGAGAAGCGACGGCGGGAGGGGAACAATTGAAAAAAAAAAAAAAAAAAAAAAAAAAA